CATAGACGCCCTACTCCAGGGAGTTATTAATGTAATTCACAGCATTGTTGAGTTGGCCCGGGTATGCGAGCTTAGGGGGATGATAAAAAAAAGTGGAACACATGAGAGATGTGTTGTTTGTTCAACCTACGGTCAAAAAGGGAAGAGCTGAGGTAAAGAACATCATGAGCTTCTCGAGCAAGGATCTTGGGAGAATCCAAACTCCCCACAATGATGCGCTTGTTGTCACTCTGCGCATCAAAGACTTCAACATCAAGAGGATCTTTATCGACCAAGGAATTTCAATCGAGATAATGTATTATGATGCCTTCAAATAGTTGAATCTGGAGGACAAAGAGTTAGCGCTCGCAACTTTTCCCTTAGTTGGCTTCAATTCGCAGTCGGAATGACCTCTAGGTAAGATCATATTGCTGGTCAAAGCAGGGCCGGTCACCAAACAGATCGAGTTCTAGGTGCTAAAGGTGCCTTCTATCTACAACTTAATCTTACGGCGAGGATGGTTACATGATATGAAAGCGGTGGCGTCAACTTACCACCAGGTGATGCACTTCTCCTCTGCTGCAAGAGCAATTGAAGAAGTCTGGGGTGACCAAGTGATGTCCAAGCAATGCTTTGTAGCTGTAAATGGCAGTCGTGTTGCCAAAGGCTTTGTCTAGATGGTGGAAGGTCGAGAAGACCAGGAAGTCCTTGAAGACGTTGGAAAGTGGGCCAATGAGAACGTTGGAAAGTGGGCCAATGAGAACGTTGGAAAGTGGGCCAATGAGAAAGTTGTAGAGGATTTGGTGGAAGTTCGAATCAACAATGATGACCCAAGCAAGTTCTTTTTGCTGGGTTCATCCCTGTCCAGCGAGGAGCGCAAAAAATTATGGATTTCTTGGTTGCTAACTTAGAAGTATTCTCTTGGATACCTTACAATATGCCTGGAGTAGATCCAAGCTTTATCTGCCATCACTAGAATGTCTTTCCAAACGCCCATCTTGTCATATAACGAGCTCGACAATCAACCTTTCACCATACCAAAGTTGTCGCAAATGAGGTAGAAAGTTTGTTGGAGGTAAAAAGTTTGTTGGAAGCAGGGCGATCTAAGAAGTGCATTATCCCAAATGGATTTCTAACATGGTGGTAGTGCCAAAGATAGGTAGGAAGTGACAAGTACATGTCGACTACAAGATGGTTAACAAAGCTTGCGCCAAAGATAACTTTATGTTGCCAAGGATAGACCAACTAGTAGACCTCACGACAGGCCACATGAGGTTCAGCTTCTTGGATGCATACCGCGTATATCACCAAATCGCCATGTATGAGCCGGATAGAGAGACCACCCCTTTTACAATCCCGAGAGGACTATACTGTTACGAGGTCATACCCTTCTCGAGAGGACTATACTATTAAGCAGATGATCACCAAAATGTTCGCCTATTTGCTTGGTCAAACAATAGAGGCCTACATCGAAGACATGGTGGTCAAAAGCAAGAATCTAATCATCTAGGCGACCTTGCTGAAGTGTTCGAGGTACTTAAGCATCATAAATTACGCTTGAACGCTTCTAAGTGCACGTTCGGCTTCTAAGTGTGCGTTCCTCGTAGATCAAGGCAATACAAGAGCTGAAGCAACCAAACTCAACAAAGGATATGCAACATCTCACTGGGATGGCAATCGCGCTAAACAGGTTCACTAGCCAGTCGTCAGATCATCGTAGGCCATTCTTTCAATATCTTTAGTCTAAATTCCTGTGGGACAAGGAATGCGATCAGGCTTTGGTGGACTTGAAGGCATACCTATTATTCCCTCCACTCGTAATGACTCCAGAGCCTAGGGAGGAGCATTTCCTTTACTTGGCTATTTCACAACACGATGTTAGCGCAGTACTCGTCCGGGCAAAAGGAATACAACACCTGCCGATCTTTTATGTGAGCAAAACTTTGCTCTCCATAGAAACAGGATACTTACCCTTGGAAAAGCTCGTCCTAGCACTAGTTATGGCCTCCAGGAAATTGGCGCACTATTTCCACGGTCACACGATTATAGTATTGATCGAGTTTCTATTGAGGCCTTATTTGAGAGAGCAAACTTCTCCGGCCGCATCTTGAAATGGACAGTCAAATTAGGACAGTTTAACATCAAGTTCCAGCCGAGAACAACCATCCAAGCCCACGTGTTGGCCGACTTTGTTGCCTAGTACTCTGCTAGCCGAACAAAATAAGGAAGGTATGCCAAAAGTTGCACGCTAGGACCTCAATTCACCAATTGAAGATTGGCAAGGACCTAGCAATGCACTGTTGGGTTTGGGAATAACAGGTCGATCTGTTGGACCCAACAACTCATCGCTAGGGGGGAAGTGGTCATGCAAATTGCGGTCAACAAGGGCATGCTTGAAGCAAAAATAGCTTTACTGCCGAGCAAAGAAAGAGAACAGTTTATCCTTCAAGAATCTCAAGATCCCTCAATATATTGGAAGTTGTTCGTCGGAGAAATGTGGAAACTTTTCGTCGATGGTGCTTTAACCAAGCACAATACCGGACTAGGCGTAGTTTTGATCTCTCCAAATGGTCTGGTCATAGAGCACTCAATCTCACTCAGCTTTGTAGCATCTAATAACGAGGCTGAGTATGAGGTGTTGCTAGCCGGGATAAAAAGTGCACTCTGGCTAAGAGCAGCTGAGTTAATGGTTTACAGCGACTCCTTACTCATTGTCAACCACGTATCTGAAAAGTATGAAGCCAAAGACGATAGATGGACCAAACTGAAGATAGACTTGAGTCTGCTAACCGAGCTTCCTTATCTTGGCCAGGGTATTCTTTTAGTGGCTTGAGCTGAGCCCATCGAGTTGTGGTGGGTTGAGCAAAGTTGGGCCATAGTAGACGGCAAGGGCAGAGCGTTTGCATACTGCCAACTGGGCTGGTAGCTTGGTCGAGCTTTGAATGGCAACACGACGCATGACTTGCAAGTAAAGGTCGTGGCCTTAGCCGGATTATTGTTACCTCGGTCAAGGTTGGCTCAAGTGGGTGTTTCTCGTGCCCTAACAATTAGTGGGGAACAAATAATGACCTGTCCAAGTTAGTGCTGCTTTTGACAAATGCATGCGTATAACGGAATAACAGAACAAAATGTAATGACAATGGGGATAATGAGCACTACATGGAAAAGTAAAACAAGTTGTCTATATAAGACCTACGAGTTCATTCTGAAAGGTAAGCGATCTTGAGCCAAAGAACTCTCTCATTCTCCTATAACCTCTGAGGGTGTTGAGTTGACCGTTGGAGGGTTTTTCAGCAAGACCCCCGCTAGTTAGCTCATTCCTATTGTGTTTGCAGGAGAGACAACGCCGTTTGAAGTGAGACGAATACAGAGGCAAGGAGTACAGAAGTGAAAAATATTTACTCCCCGCACATTTACAGAAAAAGAAAAAATATAAATGCATCTAAAAAAACAAAATATTTAAGGATAAATTAAAAAAATTAAACACTAAAGACAAATATACCAGTTTATTTATTTATTTTTATCTTTAAGAAACTTTTTATATTTTATCACAATTATTTCATTTGTTAAATACATCTAAATTAAGTCCTTTACATCGAGATATAGTTCCATAGGATAGAGTATAATTTACTTCTATAGTTGAAAAAATATTTTCATCATTATGATTTAAATTGAAAAAAAATTAATAGACAAGGGATAAATGTTATAATTTTAGTTAGGGATAAAATTATACAGAACAACTGCTAAGAAGGATAAAGTGTAATTTCTCCTCTCTCTTTTTTTTGGTAATAATTATTACATAAAAACTAAATTATTTTGTCCCTATTGAAAAAAAATAACCATTTTAGATGAATTAAAATTCAAAAGCAGAATGCTCTTGAAAAATAAACCCATAAAACTCTTAATACAAAATATATGTTTTGCTCCACCAGTTTGTGACCTATTGTAACAAGCTATTCCTCTTGATTTTGAATGGTCCAGATTTAAAATTCTCATCTAAAGCTTGACAAAATTTTCACGTACGGTACACGAGTGCCACTTTTAGCTGCCATAGTTGGACACGAATACACATAGCCTCCGTTTGAAAAGTAAGTTGACTTTTTAACTTTTTGACTTTTTTGACTATTTTAGTCTGGACTTAAAAGCTTGATTTGAGAAGGACTTTTTGACTTTTTGACTTTTTAAAATTTTTTTGTGAGAGAAAAATGTAATGATTATGGGTTGGATGTGATATTTTGTTTGTTATGATTAAAATAGCCTATTTTATTTTTTGTGGCTAAAATAGCCAAAAAAAAGCCCCAACCATGGCTTCCCAAACGAAGCCATAGTAACCTTTCCCAGCTTATAAAACAACAGAACCATTTCATGACCAGCACCATCCCATTTCTTCACCAAAAAATGTCTCGGACTCCAAAAACACACCCACAAATTGACCACAGTGATTAGATATAATAATATAGAACCCAACTCTCAAACCATATCATTGTAAGTGAATTTTTGTCTAAAAGTGAGCGTCCCTAACATTACTCCTACCCTCTTTGGTTTATAAATTTTGCTATTATATATGGTACACACCAAATCAAAACCTTAACACAAAGGCAAAGCCATATCTCTAGTTACTCAGACTCGCTTCTCTACATCCACCACAACCACCATCATCACAGATAGGCACAACAAACCAAGACAGCTGAAATCAAGTGACCAGGTATCTAACCCAAGTAGTCAGTTTGGGTAGCAGAACAATGGTGAACTCAACCCATGAACAACCCTAGACAGCATATATAAATCAATGAAGCATGTATTTTGCTTCCCAATGTGAACAGAGTGACTGCACACTTGCACAAAACACATGGTAGCGAACCTACAACTATGGTTAAAAAGGAAAAATCAAGCAATACCAACTAAACCATGCCAGATCAAGAAAAAGCTCCAAAATACCAAAATTCAGCTGCCAACCTGCTTTTATGTAACATGTAACAGAAAAAGGAAAAGAAAAAAAAGTTAAGGCAAAGAAAGATAAATTAACAGCAAAGCAAAAAGGGTGTTTGGTTGAAGTGGTGTAGGAATCCAACCTCCACTACCAGAGGCATTTCGATTTGCCATGGTGTTGTTGGGTCTCATGGAATATAGACACCAAATTTCTGAATGTGTGGGCAACACCAAGTACATTGTCCAGCAGTTAAAAACATATCTACAAACAGGAAATGATCTGCAGCCGCCCAAAAAAATAAAAAAAAGAACCCTAAGGACAAAGACCTCACAGACCCCATGACGGATACCTTTACAGCACATCTGACACACTGAAAGAGGTTGGGGGGTCGGAGACTATGAACACATGTAATAACTCGCTTACCACCCATCACCCTCTTAGAGGACACCAGTTGGACAGTTTCCAGGAGTTTGCCATTGCCCACCTGGGATAAAATAAAAACAAAGTTAAATGGTGCAAAATATAATTTGCAGGGAAAAAAAAAAAAGAAAAAGCCACTTGACTTCAGCAGTTTATATAACCCATATAAAAGCACTCAACAATTATAGAACAATACAAAGGGAGAAGTGCATAATTTAAAAAATTATGCCAATGTCAGATGAGCACTAAAGGGAACAAAAGACGAGCTGAATTAAAACAATAAATGCTTCAAAGCAAATGGAAGGTTTCCAGAAACACTTCAATATTTACCATTAAGAGGTGGAACAAGTAAATGTGATGGGGGTCAAAAAGTTTTGTCAATTTCCCATGAAGAGACAAAACGAAGAAATGCGCTAGAAAAATCTCATCATTTATAAACATTCACACCCAAGTGTGGAGCAAGCTAAGAGAGAAACCAAAACAGAATATTCTTCATAGTATTGACAGCATTATACAACACTGCTACTCATTTTCGAAATTAAAAAAATTGAACAGCAGCAGACATTTGGCAGTTATTCTCAACATAACAAAGACATTGGGGGTGTTTGGCAAGAAAAAAAATAACCTAGTTTAGGCTAAAATTCACAAAAAGACAAAATAGGCTAAAATAGTTAATAAGACAAAATATCACATCAAACCCAATATCATTTCACTTTTTCTCTCGCAAACATCACATCCAACCATAAAAAAATCCAATAATCTTCCCAAGCACAAAAATTTTAGCCTACTAAAATAGCCAAAAACTAAAATAGCCTACTAAAATAGCAACTTCCCAAACGAAGCCATTATAGCAAATCAAATAGCAGATCTGACCACAGAATCCAGATATCAATTTTCTGAAATCCCTAATGCTTACCTTCTAGTCCAATCACAAAAATTATCATAAATGAACAGCCTGCAATCAAAGTCATCTGGACTTTTGAGCATAATCAATCAGACAATAGATGCAAAGTAAAACTCACCAGGCATCGAAGCCTTGAACAGGTCGCTAGGCTGGGTAAACTGCATGCTTACTGCCATGAGGATTGCTTGTACCTAAAGCTCTCAGTATCCCACCCTCCCTCCGGCTCCTTCCTCTTCGGAATACCACCTGCCAACTGCTGGTACATCCTCGCTTGCTCCTCTGCTAGCACCTGTGAACTAGAAACAGAAAGTTGCCTTGATGCAAGAGGTAATGTTTCTTCCCTGCCTTCTACGTCTAGACTTACAGGGCCAGCATTGAGGTCGAGACCCTGCCTACCCAATTTTCTGCTGTTATCAACACCAACATTATTGCTACTATCTGGAAGGCTAACAACATATGGCCTTGGATACTGGGATGCAACTGTAGCAGCAGGGCCTAATAACTGCGAATTGCCAGCTGGAAAGCAAAACCTACCACCAGAAGAGGAATCCACATAAGTTGTAGATCCACCAGAGAAAGTGGCTGAGGACAGAGGGAAACTAGTCCCAAACCGGAAGACAGGATACTGGAAGGGAGTAGATGGGAAGGGCACTGCAGGAGAAGATGACAGCACTGAACCCCGGTAAACATCTGGAGTAAATGGTGTTCCACCAGTACGGGGTCCCAACATTCTTTGTGGCCCGCCAGTGGCAACAATTGGGAAGGGCAGCTCCCCTCTGTCAGACAAGATCGATGGAAATGTAACACCAGAGCAAGTGTTCCCAGTTGGAAACCACGAAGAGAGTGTTCCCATTTCTGCATTATTCATTCTGATGCCAGCAACAGGAGGCTGGGCTTGCATGCTGCTTCTGGCATGCTGGTTAATAGGGGATGGTTCAGCATTTGCTTCATCAAAGACAGGCCCATTGTTTAGATCGAAGTCCCTCCTTATCTCACAATTAGGAAATCCACCTGATGATGACGATGACTTAACTGGCAGAAGGGGGGCCTCCAGTCTACGATTGCAGCTCGTTGAGTACTGCCCCATATCATTAGCCTCATCAACTAGATTCAAATCCAGATCAAGACCTCCAAAACTACGAACAGGTGCAGAACCCATTGGATCATTTTGTGCCATTCGACGGTTACTTATATGGTCAGATGTAGAAGCTGTCTCCTGAGCAGAGCTTCGAGAGGCCATGTCATCGAGTATTCTTTCATCTGGCACATTCAAATCAATATCTAACAGAGGTCGACCATGTTTGACCGCAGTAGCATCAGGAAGAGGGATACTAGTAGTACCCAGTGGCATCTCCAGAAACTTCCTGGGTTCTGGCCGAAATGCACTTGTAGCAGCAGATCCCTTCCATCCAAGCTCCCCTTTACTTCTCAACAGATCCTCCGAAGGAACAAACGGCCCTTTTGCAGCAGCAGCCACTGTAATGGAAGCAGGAAGGCTGCTGGATACTGAAGAGACAAAAAATGGCAACGGGCTAATTAAATGAGAAGTTGAATATCCAGGACCAGCCAAGTTGATGGGTTCCCCATATTTTCCTTCATCTGCAACAAATCCTTCGTTTAAATCAAACTTTAACTTTGTAGACGTGGCTGATGCCCCAGTAGCAGGGATAGAAGAAGCATCAGCTGCAGTGGATGCACTGTCCTCTGTGTCTTCAGCCTCAACACCAGTCATCTTGGATCCCTGTGACTCCTTTTGAGGAACCACTCCACCAGAACACTGCTTGAGAACATCTTTACTTTCAACATTTGTATCCATGCCCTTACTCTTCAGGTTACTAACAACTGATCCCAGAGTAGCTAAAACTTGATTTTCATTAGTTGGACCACAGTTGGTACCATGATGAATATTTTGTTTTCCAGCATGACTACCATGACTTCTGGTGTCCATTTCATCAGCTTTTCCACTCTTTAGTTCATCGACATTTTCTGAAGGGAGATATTTACTAGAACCAGAAGTATGTAGCAGTTCTGCATCACCTCTTTCTAAATGCTCAGACTTCACCTTCGCTGGAGGTGGTTTCTGCTCTGGATGATCACCACCATTAAATCCTTCATTCATATTATTTTTGTTCTCACCACCGATTTCTAATGATGCATGTGATGATGAACCTCCAACAGCTTCTTTCTCAACTTTTACACTTGAAAGGGTTTCATTGACCTTATCATCCATCAACAAAGAACAGCTTCTGTTCAGCTTAGCATCCTGAATGCTTGCACTGATGATGGTTGACACCTTTTCATCAAGTTGTTTACTTGCTTCACCATCTACCTTCACTGCTGCACTGGCTGGAGAGAGAGCCACAGAAGCAGCACCTCTCATTTCATCTGATCTTTCATTTTTCTCCGGGCAAGGTTCTGCAGCTGGCTCCAAATCCAAATTGGAAGAATTATATTCATTGCCCTCTCCAGAGATGTCACTAGAGGCCTGTTTGGATGGATGATGTAACCCATCCCTGGACAATGATGCAGCACCAGCAATAAGACCGGGCTTCTCTATGTCACCAACAGCACCATCTGCAGACAGACCTTGCTCTTGAGTATGGCTATTTCCATGTGATGATTTTGATTTGGCATCATCTCCCAAGCAAGATTGCTCAACCATAGGGGAGTTTTTCCCTGGCGAATCAGTTGGTGACATCAAATCAGACTTGGACATTTCTTCAGCTGCAACACTAGCGAGCAGATTCATTCCGACATCATCTCCACCTGACATAGATGCATTTGCTTCAGAGTATTTGACACAACTTTCAATTAAAGCATTTATAGAGCTGAAAGAAGACTCATGCAATTTCCCTGACTTCAACTCATTCCCTGATGACGAGGAAGCAGGTCTTGAGACTTCAGCTGATTTGGCAGCGTCATCACCAGTTCTGCATTGCTCTTCTTCAGGAATAGCAGCAGGTGACCCATCACCTTCATCAGACACAGTCAACATTTCTTTAAAATCGTTACTTTGCCATGATTCTGTATTCACATCAGAGGTATTAGCTCGATTAGGATCACTCTTTTCCTTTGAATTGAGACCAGATTGATCATGCTTCTCTGAAACAGGGGAAGAAGCTCTACTGTTCATGTTGGACGGGTCATCAACAGATCCTCCACTGGCAGTTTGTGCAGGACTACGGCCTCTGTTTGGTATCTTAACGATCAGCTTGTGAGTATTCCCCTCGACAACAGGCACATCAAGTACCTTTTCACATGTTAACCCAGCCTCGCCACATTTTTCAGAAGCAGAATTTCTGTGCAGTGATGAATTTCTGTTTGACCCAGTTTCCCTTTGACCTCCAGACACAGCAGGCCCAGGGAATCCATTGATTGACCTCCGATGTCGAGAAGAACCACCAGATATCTTATTCACACTCATTGACCCTGCAGTAGAACTCCTCGCATCTTCTTTTCCTGAGAAAACCGTAGTTTTGGCATGGCCACTTGAACAAGATTGACCGTTGTTGAGAGACTGACTTGAACTGCTGCTCCTCTCCTCCCTTGCAGTGGTTGAAGGAAGATCGGAGGAGCTTCCAACTGTTGTTCTGGGATTAGCATCTTTACCCGAAGGAGGTGACACTGCTGATTTCATTGTCCCAGGAGACGAGGAAGTTGATTTGGAAGTGATCTCACCCTGTACAGGTTTAACTGAAGCAGCTTTAGATGCAGAAATCTGTGTAACAGAGCTCTTCATAGCAACCTCAGAGGACCCACCAGGATGTCGGTTCCCACCATGAGAAACTTCATGAAGACGTGTTCTGGAAGGCCATGAAACAGCTTGAGTTGAACCTGACTTCGCATCAATAACATTCATTTCAGCCTCAACGCGTTTCTTCCATGTGTCAACTAAACTTCTTGCTTTTCTCTGAATTTCAACATTTTTATGTGAACGTAAATGATTCACTGATTTGCCAATGTTACACATCTGTAGGGCATGAAGATTTACAGGCAGCTTATCAAGAGCACGAAGCAAAACCAAGAGAAATTCCTCTACAGATTTATCACCATCCTTGGGACTACCATCACTGATCTTCCCTTTATGGATATCTTGAAGCCATCCATCTAACACAGGCAAACCCTTGAGCTGCACAAACCGATTAAGGCAATCAAACTTTTCAGTAGCTGCTATTACACCTGCAAGCATTGACCGGCTAACCAATTCCGTCTTCCTCTCAGATCTATCAGGCTGGATAAGTTGAACTAGTTTCTCCACCCCTTCTGGATCTATAAGCCCACCCTTTTCTGTTATCTTAGAAATCTCATATTTCAAAGTGCTTTCAGATTTAAACTGATAAGAGTCACCATCATCCGTCTTTGAGGAACGATCTCGTTTGAGAGGCTCAGATCCATCTGTCCGCTCCCTTTTCTTCCCCTTGGCATGAGAAGGAAAGGAAGTGGCACTCTGTACATTATCAGAACCAGGTTTTAACTGTGTAGGGCCATTTATTGGTTTTGGAGAACGGCCACCAGGCTGCACTGTTGCATGCATCTCTATTTGTGTTTTATGTAACAGCTTGTCTACTTCTTCCTGTCGCTCCTATAGAAAATAGAAAGAAATTACCCATCAGAAAGATTAAATATAAATATATTAGTTAATAACTAAGTATTCACTTTTTACTAGAAAATCAGAAAGATCAAATATAAATAATAACACAGTTAAAAAAAGATAGAAAACTGAATACAGAAAACACAGACTGAAGTACAAGGTTAAACTAAAACTCACATCAATATAATCTTGATCAGTTAACCACCACAAACACTTGTTTGCAAGGTCAAAAACTCGACGGCAGACAAATGAGGATATCCCTGACGGAAGTTCAACACCTTTAGGAAGGAATGCAACTTTACATGGATGGAGTAATGATGCAGCAGGAATGTAATAAGAGTAGGGATTTTCTAAGACTTCGTTTGGTGCGGCATCCAGCAGGATGCCCTTGCAAAGCTTTACTTCAACAGGCCGGTACAGCCAATTCACACCCAACTGTAGATTGTTTTCTTCGTTTAATGACAGCCAGCGGATTATTCCAATAAAAGCAGGGGAGTCCTGGGGCGGTTTGAAAAGAGCACAATCACCTACACTAATCTTGTGACCATCCTACAAAAAAATATTTGACTCAATTAACTATGAAAGAGTAAAACACATGCAAACAATGGAAACTGAAAGTTAGCATATGAATACACAATTGTCATTGGTAAAATTAAGCGCAATATAAACTTCAGATGCAAATAAAATAAAAAAAGGGCAAACAAAAGATTAATATGAAAATGCATTCCAGTACCATAATCCATCATCATCTTGCAGACAAATATTACACCCAATGATGCTGACTCTTTGAATTCACACCATCTTTGCTGATTTCTACAAATTATAGTAGTGATTGGAAATGAATTGACAAGCCTTTTTAGTTTTGCCAATTAAGCTTACAAGTGATTGCTTAAAATCTAAACCACATAGCACAATGAGTTTAGTTTGAACTGAAGTCATGCCTCAGCAACCCCACTATCGTAAACAAATTTGGTAGTACCTAAGAAACACGGACACTTTTAAGAAGGTAGTGTGTCATGTCCGACACCATGTATGACACTAACACTGACACAACACAACATTCATCGGACACTTCTCAATCCTTGTAAGACATACCTCAAAATATGTCCCATTATTTTTAAAATTTTCTAGATTCAGACAAGCTTTAGGCACTTGGAGAACAAGCGCATAGACACACATGAGATACAATACAAGTTCGATATGAGATCACTGACTCCAGACAAAATACCATTATAAAAGTAATTGTTGAAAGTGCAACTAAAATGTAACCAAATCCTTACTATAATAAAGAAGTAGAAGGTGGTAACTTTTTCTACCAAATAAAATTTGCTTCGTGTAAAAGTTTTTCTGTACAAGTTATTTTAATTGATTGCATTCCACGGAAAACACAACTCGAAGCACCAACTCTTGCTCTCAATATGTCGATCTACAAATTTTGCGTCAAAACCATTGGTAGTTTTGGAAACTTTTGAGTAGCATAGACCAGGTTGATCAAATTATTAGACATCAGGCAACAAAGTGGATGATTCTCTTGGAAGCTGACTATGGTGTCCTAAATGAACACACTTCATACACATCATAATAAGTATGCCCAATTTATTACACCATTAAGAGTCTAGAAGGGGTAAATTAACTACATGCCTAATATACCCTTGAAAGAACATTTTACGATTTCTAATAAAATGAAGCATAATAAACCCATAAAAAAGAGACTAGAAGAACATAAAGAAATCAACCGACCTTATTTCCCTTATTCCACTATCTGTCTAACACAATTCTTCAATATACATCAAATGACACAAATGTAAAACTAATAAATCTAGGACTTCTATCATACAAAAACTACCATCTCCCTAGCTCCCATGATTCCTCTACCATTCCCCCCTTTCAAAGATCAAATCCCTCTTTCTTTTTTTGGTCGCCATTCCATCTTTGCGCTTTTCAATGCATATGGACTGAAATTTGGCATGCTATCTTGCCTTTCACTCATCATAGTACATTGGTTGTATCATCCAATTATAGTAATTTCTACTTGTAATTCGGTTATATATGTAGACACACGTAGTGTTATTAAAGGCGATAGGCGCACCAAGGGACCAAGGTCTTCTAGGGCCTAGGCTCAAGGCGCAAGGCAAAGCGCAGGCTTCACCAAAGTGAGGCACACCTTGTACCGAAAAAAATATAATTTAATATAAATAAATAATTTATGGTTCAACATAAACAAAATGAAATGTTAAACATTTAGTATTTTTTAGAGATTAGGAATTAGGGCTAATTTTTCTTCTATCATTGATTTGGGGTTGAATGTCCAATGTATTGACATTTGTAATAAGAGTAGGGATTTTCTATAGCCGCACCATATTAAATCAATGGTCAGATTTTAAACAAACCAATTAAAGCAACAATAAAAAAAAAGCCCTCAAGACGGAAGCCTTGGGCCAGCCAGACACCTTATCACAGTTGCTTGGCCTGAAACACTACAAGGCGCAAACCTTGGGCCTGGACGGAACTTGGGCCTAGGCGGACGCCTAGGTGTGCCTTATCGAAGTCGTCTAGCTTGGAACACTATAAGGCGCAAACCTTGGGCCTGGATGGGACTTGGGCTAAGTGCACGCCTAGGCGCTCCTTTAATAACACTAGACACACGTCTACATGTAAATATATACACGCATATATCTATCTATCTATACTATTATATATGTGAAGGCTCCTGATGGTGTTGACATCTCATATTTTTGGTTTTCCCAAAATACCCCTATTGTTGTTTATATAAAAATTATATTAAGGGGATAAGACTTGAAACCAGATCATGGATTAGATAAAGAATGCACTTACCACTTGAGCAACACATACTATGTGTACATTTTTCTCTTTGTCATTATTGTTATAAACTTATAATATTACCTTTTTTAGATTGCATACTATGCATACATGTATATGATGGCCCCAACAATGAACACAATATGCAATGAACACAGTAAAGGCAATTTTGAAGTAAAATTTTTGGTGTATAGATAAAAGCCATATTGATGATTTCAAAAAAGAACAACTCATAAAGGCAGCAACAATTATAGAGGTATTAAGTTGATGAGTCATACAATGAAAATGTGGGAGAGAGTGATTGAGCATAGAAGTTACAAATAGAGTTAGATAATCAATTTGAATTTATGCCCGATAGATCTATAGTTGTCAAATCGGGATTTGAAATGGCCTTGCACTGAATCGTAAATGGAATTGAATCATGAATCATAAAAATTCAGTCACTTTCTTTAAATTACTTAGAAAAATATATATACACATTTAGATGTTACATATATCTTATAAATATGAAATATTTATATTAAAATCAATGAAAATATTGTTTTGAATTATGATCACGTGGTCTAATAGGTAAGAAGTTAACGCGGGTTCCCATGTACGATCACTATTGTACCTTGTTCCTCTTTAAATATTTCTCATTAATCATTCTTAATATATAAAAAAAAGTAAACAAAAGGCAAACTCTCAATTTCTAAGAAACAATAATTTAATAACGAAGTTGATATTTGAACAATAAACATACATAACATTCCAAATAACAATGACCCAAACATAAGAAAGAATTAATTTAAATGCTTTATTTTAAAACCAACCTAAAAAACCACTTTTAAATGTATGTATGCTTATTTTCAAAAAACATAATTAAAAAATTATTTTTTTTAAAAACAAACTTATAGAACTATTAGGTTTAACTAACCTCTCCCATTTAATATTGAATATCTGATTATTGAACTATTTCAATAAAATAGCAATAGATAAACAAGGTCTAACGCATTGACTGGGACACAAGGATTAGTTTGGTTTGTCTTTTATATAAATTATTTACCAATTCTTCAGTTTAATGACAAAGGTATCATTTTCATAGCATTAACTATCATTTATCAAGACATAAGCAAGGTATAATGCATTGATGAAGTGAATACACTGTGACCCAGAAACACAGATGCAGCAAGGGATATATCACAACTTTTTTCCCTCTTTCTTCTTTCTTTTTAATTACTATTACCATATAGTATCTGCAAATAACCAAAAATTTATTTGAATTCCGAATATAATGCTGACGCATAATTCGGAAACAAAATACTGTAGTGTGCATATTACAAAAACGTGTGCCCCTGTATCAAGTATATAAAGCACTCCGACCAATAAAATAGTAGAAAATTAAAAATTATACATCACCCATGAAAAATTCAATAGACTAAAATAACCTGCTAAATTTATTTGCTTTGACAGGTTTACTGCTTAGTTCCAAGTTCAAACTTTAAAAAAATAAATAAATAAAATCTATAATCAATCAATCCAAGGAATCATAACTTACACATATACCTTCATTTGGATTACATCCACATACACAACCTAAAACCCTCAACATAAAAACAAAAGGAGGGTCAAAATTCAACACTAGGCGGATGGCAAAATTACCCGACCCAATTGTATTTGTCCTGACCCGATTTTAATAAATAAAAAAAAGGCGTCGGGAGAGCATTGTAGGGTAAAGCATAAGAGTCCGTATGTTAAAACTGTCACGTTTAACGTAAAGTATAAAATTGTATCATTAAAATAGTTGAGTTTAAAATCTAAGACTAGGGATTAAATGAACAAAAAAGAACTACATAATTGTAAACCAATGAAAGCAATTTTATCAAATCCCCCAAAAAATTACTTAAAGATATACATACATATTAAAGCAGAAAATCAACAATGCAGTAGAGCCAATAAACATGTATGAATCAATAAGAAGTGAAATTGAAACAATTGAAAGACCCACCAAGGCAATACCTTGCAGAAGGAATCGAGCGTAGATGCTGAAGAATCACCGGCTACAGTCCTCGTCACTGTGGTGCCGCGCGAGGGGACCGACCACATGTGCCGACTCCGTTTCCGAATTTCACCTCCCCGCCCATGCATAATACCCTAGCATCTTCCCCAATTTTCGCCTCGACAACCATCAATCCCAAACCCTAAATTCCCCTCTTCCAAACAACAACAATAAAAACCCGACAATTCACCAAAACCCAGATCGCCTCCAAACCCACCTTTGCCTCATCAAAATCGCAAAAACCCTAATCCCAAAACTCCCAATCCTAGCCGCATCGATCTAATTCGAGCCCGGAACCACCATTTCAGATCCGCTAAAGACCGAACAAAGAAGAGAGAGAGTGAGAGAGAACGAGCCGCCTATCGGGCACGATCTAGAGAGAGAAACAGAGAGATGTAGAGCGATAGAGAGAGAGAAATGACATGTCGTGAGAGAGAGAGGGTTCGCCAGACGGCAAAGGGAAAGGTGTACTTGGTACTTGGGAAGAGCAGAGGCGGGCAGGCGGGCAGATTGGGCAGGGGTTTGATAGAGTTACCCGTGGGGGAAGTTAGATAGATTGAGATGTGAGAATGTGACTGGACTAGAATAGGGCAGAGAGAGAGGACTGTGTTGACTGAGCGCTCTGTGGTTTTGACTTTTGATTTTTGTAATGTTTTGTTGTTTTCTGGGTCAGTTGCATTGGTTTCATCACACACCGAATGGGGTCACCTTTTTGAGGCCCGTGTGTGTGTGAGTGGGTGTCCCAGGGAGAGGTGAGGGGTGAAAATGTAATTTCGTAGTATTAGATTTTGTGTGTTGGGGGAAGTGAAGGGAGTTAAGGTTGTCTTCAGGTGCTCCAACACTCACCATGAACTAGGTGGGGTATGTGTGTGGGTGTTTCCATTTATGTAAAATCTACCTTGACTTGGCCTGGCAAATTAAAACATCAGGGAATGAGTCTATGTTGTTCAAAAAAAAAAAAAAAAAAAAAAAAAAAAAAAAAAAAAAAAAAAAAAGGAATGACTATGTGTGTACATAAATTAAGGTCTGATTTTGCATAATTAAAAAAAAGTCAAAAAATTAAAAGTTATTATTCTATTTAAGTTACATCATCTCTCTATCACATCACTTTAAATTTAACCCATTCTCAACTCATATTTCATAAAAAATTAAAACGTACACTTATTTAGTTTATTCCAAACAATCCTAAATATAGGATAGCGAAGTTTATAAATGTAGAATTCATATGTAAAATTTACTCCTTGACAATTTTGTCCCATTCTATATCTAATTTTTGAATTCTTAACATTATTGTAAAAATAACTTATTAGCCTCCTTCGTAACCACCTTTTTTTTCTTTCTTGTTTTTTGTTTTAAACTTTTTTGAAAATAATAAAAGGTTTTTGTTGTGAACATAGTGATTATAAATTTTATGGTTGAATTTCTTTCAAATTTAATTTGGATTTCACTATTATGTTTGGACTAATAAGTTTTATCTTTGTTGGTCCTTCGTGTACATCATTTATAAATATAAAAAAGAAACTAAATCAATTTGAAAATTATAGAGTGTGTTTGGTTTGCTTTTGAGAGAGTGATTTTAAAAAAAAAAAATTGGAAAGAGAGAGTTTAGAAATTTTTTTAGTTTGTTTGGTTGTATATTTTGAAAGTGATTTTGGAGTTTGGGAGTTTGGGATGATTTGATATTTTGTTGTAATTGAGTAGATGTGTGTAAGAGAAAAAGTGATTGAGAAGGAGAAAGGAGAAAGAAAAAGTGATTAATGGATGTGTAAGAGAGAGAAAGTGATTTTAGAATTTTTTTGAGAAAAACCACAAACCAAACAAAATTTTGGAAAAAAATTTCAAAAACAACTCTCCCAAAAGCAAACCAAGCAAGCCCATAATATTTTTATTTTATCACATTTGTCTTCAAAAAATAGATGATAAAAGTGTTTTTTAAAATAGAGTATCTATCTTTTTAGACAAATACGGTAAAATGAAAATATTACAATTATTGAATCGATTTAAGTTCTTTTATGGATTATATACATGGAGGTCTTACAAAATAAATTGTTCAAATTATCGAAATAAGGCTTAAGTGAGCCTCTTCATATTTAAGCTTGAGTGAAGTCCAACTCTAAATTTTAAAAGGGTAAATTAGATTGACTTTCTTTAAGATTTGAAAAAAGAAAAATGCTTGAGATCTCTAAAAAATCTCTTTTGATACCCTTCTAAGCACTGACATGCTTCCGTGCATGTCAATGACTATGATATGCTACACTGTGTGTCAGTGTACCGCATCAATGCACTGCACTGTTTTGATTTTTTTTTTCCACCAAAAAGTGCACTATTGGAAGGGAAGTATATCAAGGGCATATATGTCTTTTTATCCTTTGTCTATTCAGACTTTTATTTTCCGCCCAAACATGTAAATAGTGTTGACTTTTTTGTTCTTTGTGACTTTTTTTTTTGGTAACTTTTTAACTCTTTTAGGGGATGCCAAACACCTACCTAATCTATAATGATGAAGTATGAAATATTAATTTTTTATTTATCACACACTCAACAATATAGGGCCTAACTCCCTAACCACATCATTGTGTGTGATATAATGGGTCTAAATTGTTAATCTTTCGTATTTCTCTCGAAAAAAATACAAAAAGTCTCACAGTTTTAACATAATTAGAAGGCTAAAGAAACAAAAGCTAATACAAACGGTGTAAAGACACATACATGAATAAAGTAAACTATATATTAATATAATAGATATTACAATATCAATTTTTTCATCCATATAGCTAATGAATAATGGAATGAGAGTTATAAGGTTTGTTTGGAATGTAGCTTGGCTTTTGGGCTTTTTGACTATTTTAGTCTGGGGCTAAAAAGTCTTATTTGGGATGGACTTTTAACTTTTTGATTTTTATGAGAAATAAAATAAAATGATTATGATTTGAATGTGACATTTTTTCTAACCTATTTTGTCTTTTTGTAGTTATTTTAGACCAAACCATATATGCCAAACGAGCACTTAAGGATTATGTGAATTTAAAATCTTAAAGAAATCCAATATAATTATGTCAAATTTATAGAACCTATTGTATTTTTATTAACTTTAAGAGAGGTCGGTATGATTTATCCATTTTGAAATTTTGATAAAATAAATAAAATATTATTACTTATTTTGAAAAAAGCTTCAATAATGTTGATCATTCATGCAGTATATTTTATAATATTTCATTTGTCAAGAATACCATATGAACAATATCATATAACATTTTGAAACTATTTAGTGATTTTTCATCTAACATCCAATAACTCATAAAGTATCAAAATTTTGTTAAGGAGTACAGTGTTGGTTTTGATAGATGTCTATGGATATTAAGGGGCAATGATCCCTACTGGATGTGTGGAGTAGCCTATTTTGCACATCCATTTTGTTGTTAATAAATAAAATAAAGTTTCAAAATTTTAAACTACTACACATATTTTTTATTAAAAATTTTAGAGTAAATTACAAATATTGAAATTTGCTTAAAATACTAATTGCTCCCTATGATTCTAGAAATTATATCTCGTTTATTGAAAATTGTAATTGCATAACAAATAACTCATTTTATTAATCAACAATTAAATCAATTAACAGTTTGTAATATTGTTTTAATTAATAGTTTTAGTAAATCAACCTAGCAGGAGGCGTTAGTTTGTCTCTGGCAATTTATGGCGTCCCTCTGGCAACTTTCAGACAACCTTTTGGCGAGATATAAAAACACTTTCAAAGTGTGGATTTGGATTTTTTATTCCTAGAAAGAAGGGTTTGAGAGCTTCTCCCCGATTTTTAGCATAGATTAGATTTTCAAAGCCCATAATTATCCCATCTTCTTTCAATCATCATCCCTTACTATTGTGGTTGTTCTTCTTCTTCAATTCTGGCTTTCAATGATGACCAATGTACAAGAAGGCAGCAGCGGAGTTGGGTAGTAGCGACAAAGACGTTGGTAATAGCGACGGCAGGGTTGAGCTTTATTTAAATGTAGATCTTATTTTTTCAAACCATATCTATGAGAAGATTGTGATTTTCCCATAACGTTGTTGGTTTTTTTAATGAATTTTGTAGTTTTCAGAGGGTTTCTTGCTTGGTTATTTGAGACTTTATTGTTTTCCTTTTTATTATTTGGTATGATGTTCATTTTTATTTTAATATAACTCATTGATAACTCTTCTAAAAAAACAGTTTTTGTAACTTTATTGTTGTATAAGATGGTAGTTAGGAATTTCATTTTTTCTGTCAATTTTGTCTTTAACAAATTCTGACAAAGATACATTTATAATTTTCAAAATTACAAAGAATAAATGTATTGATAATTTACCATATTTAAAATATTTATGTGCACTAAACATGTTTTTCTTATTTTTTATATTAAGGGTAAATTACAAACACACCCCTTGAGGTTAATTTAAATTATGAATTATCCCCAGTGACTATGGAAATTATATTATGCCTCCTAAGGTTTCTAATTTCATAATAAATAGGTCATTTTTTTAATAAATCAAGTTAATTAACAGTTTTTAATGATGTTAAAATTTTATTTCAATTAATAATTTAGATAATTTTATTATTGTATAGGAGAATAGTTAAAATTTTTATTTTTCAGTTAATTCTGTTAAATAAAATTTTGACAGAGAGATATTTGTAATTTTCCGAACTACAAGAAACAATTTGTATTTTAATCAAACTTCATAGGATGTATGCGTAATTTATCCTTTTATTTAAAGTACTTTGTTGTTGTCACACCATATACATTAGTAGAGTTGATAGTTGGTTGTTAATAAGGAAGGGAGTAACACAAAAAAAAATCAAACTTCATGTCTATGAGATTTTTTATTATTTTAAATTTTAAGTCAACAACTTAGGTGCTATTTGGTAAAGCTAAAAACAGAAAATTGAAAATTAAGGAGTAACACAAAAATATCAAACTTCATGTCTATAAGATCTTTTATTTTTTTAAATTTTAAGATAACAACTTAGGTGGTATTTGATAAAGTTGAAAATTAAAAACTGAAAATTAAGTATTGAAAATTGAATATTGAATTTATTAAGTCAAAAAATTGTTTGATAAAAATTTAAGTACTGGTTTAAAAATAAATTATTTGATATATATAAGAATAAATTTGGAATTTATTATTTTCAAATTATATATTTTAATTTTTATGTTGTGATGGTGGTGGTGATGGTATGATGATGATGGTAGTAGCGGTAGCGGTAGCGGTAGCAGTAGTGGTGGCAGTGGTAGTGGTAGCGATAGCATGATGGTGGTGGTGGTAGCAGTAATGGTAGTGGTGGTGGTGGTGGTGGTGGTGGTGGTGGTAGGGTGGCAGTGGCAGTGGCAGTGGCATGATGGTGGTGGTGGTAGTGAGTTTATAATAATGTATACTGATACTTATATTTAGTATTTATAAATTCAGTTAGAATTAAGTAAATTTCATACAACTTAAAATTTTCTTAAATTTTAGTCTATATTTTAAGAGGCACTTAAATTTTTAAGTGATATTAACTGTGATTA